AGGAGGAACATGTGTGGGGACTTCTTAGATAAAAGTAGTTGCTAAAGAAAACCTGACTCTTGACTAAAGTTATCCAGGTGACAATTAGGAACTTTATAACATCATACATATAATTGTATTGTGTTTTACACGAAGCAGCCAATGAAAGGGAACCCTAAATGTTAAAAGAGTCATAGTTAGATTTAAAATAAAGACCACTTAGTTCCACCAATAGAAAAAAAAAAAGAAAACCTCCATAAACTAAACCCTATACCCAAAGCTACTCCAGACAAAAAAAACCCTATAAAAGCAGGGGTGCCCACAATTTTTTGTGTTGAGATCTACTTTTCAAATGACGAGCTACATGAGATCTACCAACGAAAAAAAAACCTCCCTCACTCTCCCTCTCCTGGCTGTCTCTCCTCCCTCTCCTGGCTGTCTCTCCTCCCTCTCCTGGCTGTCTCTCCTCCCCCTCCTGGCTGTCTCTCCTCCCCCTCCTGGCTGTCCCTCCTGGCTGTCTCTCTTCGCTCTCTCTCCCCTCGCTCTCCTGGCTGTCTCTCCCCTGGCTGTCTCTCCTCTCTCTTTCCTGGCTGTCTCTCTTTGCTCTCTACTGTCTGTCTCCTTGCTCTCTCTCCTGGTTTACCTTGCTGTATTTTGCAAACAGTGTAGTGCAACAGGCTGTGTAAACGAATATTCTTTGATGTAATACATAGCACTTCAACCACCAGTATCCACCAGAAAGGTGTCAGGGAGCTTGGCTCAGCAGAATCAGGCTAATAGGTGATCATGTGTGCACAGCTAAATAAATATACCAAAATGAAATAAAGGGGCCGCCATTCACACCCTTCGTGATCTACCAGCATCAGCTTTGAGAGCTACTGGAAGATCACGATCTACCTAATGGGCACCCCTGCTATAAAGGATAGTTCAATATTTCCAACAGGGGAAACATTCCTTCCTAAACAGCAGTAGACAACGGTAGGCAATGTCACAAGTCCAGCTGATTTGGAACTACAGGTCCCATGGGACACTACAAGACTGACAGCTATAGGTATGACTCCCAGAGGCAGAGGTTTGATGGGATTTGTAGTTACCACATCTGGAGTGCCAAGTTTGCCTACCCTGCCCTAAGACAATCAGATCTACCTGGGATCAACAACCTCTGGTGTTATTACCTATTAATACTGGTGTTACCAAGTTATATTCTGCATCTATTTATGTTATTTTACAATTAGCTGAGCTGGCTAGAACTAGTTCCTGAGGGAGTCTATTCTACATTTTCACAGCTCTAACTGCAAAGAAGGCTCTCCGTATGCAAAGATTAAACCTATTTTCCTCTAGATGTAAAAAATGCCCTCTTATCCTTTGCAGTGACCTTAAAGCGACACTAAACTCAGGAGTTAAAAAAAGAGAACTATGGAGTGAGCGATTTCCACAAAAAAGCTGTCACAGGTCGGCTCTATTGATCGGGAAGTGAGCCGAAACATCCAGCCGATTCGCTCACTTCCGGAAAATCTTCCCTAGAGTGACTGTCAGTCCCTGCTCCCCGCAGGGATCATGGGAGTGAGTTTGGAGCGGTGACTACTTTACAACACACACAGGGACCATGGGGAACATAAGTATCCACCCTCCAGAAGTAAGGACAGTGTCAGCACCAATTCAGAGATGATTTGAGGAGCTACAGCTGACTGATACACAAATAAGATACATTTTTGTTTATAGTTAGGGTACTAGAATGCGTTTTTAAGGTTTAACTCCTAAGTTTACTGTCACTTTAAAGTGAATGACCATTTATGTATTTATACATGGTAATCATATCCCTCTTCTCAAGGGAAAACAAATTCCATTCATAAGTATGCAAAACGAACACAAATGTTTAAAACTATGTGTCAGTACTGATGACTTTAAAAGTGAAAACCTTCTCATGAGAAGAAAAAAAAAGTGACACTGACGTCACTGGCATTCTTAAAGCACAACAGAGACAATGCAGGAAGAGCTCAGGCAATGTAATCGGGAGACTGGATGCAGTTTCTAAGTCGTAACAAAAATGACAACTTACAAAAGATTGATTTACTTAGTAAAAAGCGATGACAGCCAGCCATAAAACAGAGAAGACAATGGCGTTCCTTTAAGAATTCTATAGGTAATGAGTTCATAAATATGTATTGGGAGTTGTGCAATGACATATTTTCCGATTCCAGGGAAATAATCAATATACCGGCTCTGCATTTTGAAACGAGAGGGGGAGGGTGAAGTGAAAGATGTGCCCAGACGCTGGAGAATGGTGGGAATGACATGTCTGATGTGTCTGGCGTTGCCCTTTTAATCTATGCCATTGCATTGATCATGCTTTGCCGCATTTCACCTTACAAGGGGAAGATGTTGAAAACTGCACACTGGGCTTCCTCCTTCTCATTGGTAGTAATTACAACATGAATTTTTAAACACACAAATCCACATCACACAATCTGAATGACACACCCCGATGACAAACCAGACTGCCAGTGTACACCAACCGTGCCCACAACTGCCAATCATTCCGATGGTGGAGAGCCTTCCTCTGCACACAGTCCACGAGATGGAAGTTCACCCTACAACAACCAGGGAGCAGTATTTATAAACACCCAGATCCTCTACATTGCGAGATGACACCAGGAGATTCCAAACCAATCAAATGTAAGAAGAGCAGACAGGAAAAGAGAAAAAGTTCCCACACCAACAGCTTTTCATCTGGAAGGATAAGCATCGTCTGCAAAAAGTGGTGTCATACCGCACAGAATATACCCCAAATGATTATCACTCCTGCCTTGCAGCACTGGGGGTCCCGGTTAGGACACTATCTGCATGGAGTTTGCATGTTCTCCCTGTGCTTGCATTGGTTTCCTCCGGGTTGGCTCCTCTCTAAATTGTATGCATGCGAGATAGGGACCTTAGATTGTAAGCTCCTTGAGGGCAGGGACTGATGTGAATGTGCACCTTATGTAATGTCTCCCTTTATAGTGCTAAGCGCTGTGCAAACTATGGACGCTATATACATTCTGTATTATAATAATATCGTATATGAATGTAAAGTGCTGCGTAAATTGTCGGCACTATATAAATACAATCTGATTGTACAATCCCTTCTAGATCTACTGTACCAACAAATATGTAATACAAGGGTCTGTCTGACTGGATAGATTAGGTAGGTCTTCCTTCTATAGTTTTGGCAAATCTAAAGTGTATTGTATGTCAGATTGTAACGTGTATGCTGACCCTATACGGACAAGCATCATCTGCAAAAGTGCTGTCAAACTGCACCCTAAAGAAAGATCTCCACACACATTACAATCTCCTTTAGATCTACCAACAAGTATATATTGCTAGGATCTGCCTGATTGGATACAAATCGTATGGATGGTTTCGGTAGGTCCTTATTCTACATAGTTTTGTTAAATCTAAGGGTCCCCATACACACTACAGTCTGACCATACAATCAGCTTTAGAGTTATCTAATTAAAATGTCCCTTGCACTACGTAAGTGTTGCTTAGCACTTCCGCCTTGCAGCCCTGGGTCCCTGGTTCAAATACTGGCCAGGGTGCTGGTTGCATTGAGTTTGCATGCAGCTAGGTTAATTGGTTCCTGTCTAAACTGGCCCTAGTGGGTGAGATAGGGACCTAAGATTGTAAGCTCCATGGGGACAGGGACTGATGTGAATGTGCAGTATGTAAATTGTCAGCGCTATATAAATACCTGTAATATATTAATCTAATGGGAGATTGTACATTCAGACTGTAGTGTGTGTGATCAGCTTTAGGTTGGTCGTACAAAGATTGTATGGGTCCCCATAGACATTACAATTTGACCATACAATGAACTTTAGAAGGAGATTGTACAACCAGATTGTGTTGTGTGCATGGGGAGCCGTACAATCTGACCATAAAAATTAACCTTAGAAGGAGACTGTAAAATCAGACTAATCCGTGAAACATAAAACAACTTTAGAAGAAAAATGTAGTCTCTTTAAACAAACAGCGCACCCCTAAGGATTGAACCATTCCAGTGCACCCCTAAATGGTGGAAAGTGGCTGGAGACTGTCTGGATTGAACCCTTCCAGTGCACCCCTAAATGGTGGAAAGTGGCTGTAGACTGTCTGGATTGAACCCTTCCAGTGCACCCCTAAATGGTGGAAAGTGGCTGTAGACTGTCTGGATTGAACCCTTCCAGTGCACCCCTAAATGGTGGAAAGTGGCTGTAGACTGTCTGGATTGAACCCTTCCAGTGCACCCCTATATGGTGGGAAGTGGCTCTGGATTTCCTGGATTTAACCCTTCCAGTGCACTCCTAAATTGTGGGAAGTGGCTGTAAACTGCCTGGGTTGAACCCCAGCTTCATGCTCCATTGCTGTGCTGTAGTTTTCTTGCTCTCTGCATGGGGTGGAAGTGGTTTGTCAGTGAAGATTTGGCACATTACTCCAGGGTATTTATGACCCTCTTCCTCCTCCCCAGCACAGCTCGTGATCTTTGCGCTGCTGCTGCTGGAGATCACAAGCCCCCTTTCCTGTGTGTAGATGGAGACTTGGGCAGCTCCAGCCATCCGTGTCTGGCCGAGCAGACACACGTACACAGGGGGCTGTATGCATACAACACATACAGGGGGAGGCAGCCAATGACATGCAGTGCGAGGGCCACAGACCCCACCCCGATACACTGGGGGGGAGCAGGAATTGGGGCTGTCGTATAGGGTGGAGGTGCACTCAGTAAACTATTCCCCGACACCCCAATCCAGCTTTGGAAAGTAGGGAGTCGGATGCACAGAGCCCCCCCCCCCATCATTGTGCCAGTGACATGCCCACAGCTAACTTGTCTCCACAACAGGACTGGTGACAGAAGTAAGCTGGCAGCTGTAGTGTACACTGTGTGTGTGGGTGTGTTCAGTCACATATGTGTATACATACAAGCACATCCTGCACTGCTCCCTACACGACTCCCCCCCTTCCCCCCAGCACTCAGCTGTCCGCCTCTGCCCCGGTATATTTACCTGCAGCTGCACGGACACAACTGGCAGCCAGTCACCGTGCCTCCTGCCGCTCTCCACCCCGGGGTGTCCGCTCTTTGTTCCCCCTCTCTCTTTCTCGGGTCTTCAGTCTGGCTGTACAGCGGCTGCCGCTCCTCCTCCCCGAGAGCCGGGGACTCCGCCTCCAAACAGCAGGAGGGGAGGAGAGGTTGGGGGGGGGGACAGCTGCCACACAGCACCACCGCAGGACGAGGACACTCTTCCCAGGTGGCCGCGCCCACGTCATGACGTCACGGTCTCTAGCGGCCACATTCGCGTTACCATGGTCTGGACGCTGGCCAGGGGCTCGGTGCATGACGGGAGTTGTAGTTCCAGCTGCTTTGCGGTCTGGGGATCACGTGACGGCCCGGCGTCCTGGCGTAACCCTGCCGGGGTTTATTCTCTTCTGCGCTGCTTCAGTTTTGTACGATTGATTTTCTGTCACTCTTTCAATGTTCAATCTCCCAGAATTCGTGTAAAAAAAGTTACGGACTGGAGTTGTGATATAAGTCTGGTGTCTTTTATTTTAGAGGTGATGATGTTATAGTTAGTACCGAGTCACAGACACAGGGTGGGGGGATTTTCTCTACAAAGATAGTTTCCAGCTTTGATTGTTTGTTCATGGTAAAGAATAGGTATACCCAAACTTTACATTTTAGTTTTTGTTACAGTAGGGAAGGGTGAAAACCCCTGTCACTTTTATATTTTGTTGTCTGTGTCCCTTTTGGGAGATTTCCATTCACTTCCTGTCATAGTTATGGAACAGGAAGTGAGAGGAAATCTGTACAAAGTGAGGGCAGAGCCATCTCAAATGGTCGTCCATGGAACAAGTGTCCCCAGTGGAAGATATCTCATCCGTTACTGCTCTGGGGACAACTGAAACATCTCCCATCGCTTTCTATTTCAGTGAGAATAGTCAACAGGACAAACAAGTTAAATCTCAGTGGGGACACGGACATCAATAAAAACATGATGGGTTCTAACCCTTCCCACCTCTACCCCCAAATGTTAACATACAAACACTTTATAGCTGAACGCCTGTACAGATTTTTTGGGGGGGGCACACAGCACCAGTAACATAAGTTCCCTCTAATAAAGCAGTGTCCTCCTGGCTGCTGGTTACTGTAAAAATCCTCCCTCCATTGGTGGTAAATACTCCCCACAGCAGTGATCTTCTGGCGCTGCAAGGGTTAAGAACTGCGACAGTGAATTATCGCGCCATTTGTCCCCTCCTTCCTGTCCACTCATCCATTCACAAAACTCCTGGTGTTATTTTCCCAGAATGCAAGGTGTTCTGTGAATGGGCAAGGGGCGGTCCTGTCATTCATCCTACAGTCAGAGAACGCCTTGCATTCTGGGAAAACAATACAGGGAGTTTTGTGAATGGACGAGGGGAAGGTAAACGGCACGACCCACTCTTAACCTCTGCAGTGCCAGAAGATCACTGCTGTGGGGAGCATTTATTTGTCGGATGCCTCTTTTATAAGCACGCCTGAAGCTGAATGTGCCGAGAAAAAAAACATTGAAGCGCTTTAAAAACGTGTTGACGCATGTTAAGAGGACATTAAACCATCATTTTATTTTTTTACATGGTTGTGAGGGCTAAACTCACTTGAACTGCCTTTTGTTTCTGCTATAAACGTTTTATTTCCTTGTTCTCTAGTTGTCCCCAAACTGCTAGATACCCTGCCCCCCCCCCAAAAAAAGGGGTGTCTCCGTCAGCTAGCCTGCTACCCGTTCCCACACCTTGCTATGTGCGTCCATAGACACACACAGCTTGTGGCAAGCCACGTCTCTGCTCCCGCAGTCACACTTTGACGGCAGAAGGAATCTATGGCTCCTCTGCCCTCAGTACCCTCCTGCAGGACCAGGAAGTTCGGGGAAAGTCGAGTATCTTTCATGTCCCGGCAGAGGAGATGACTGGTTACAGGTAAGTGTCGGGGGGTTACATAGAATGCATTAGGTAAAAAACGCCTAGCCTTTAGTAATACTTGAAGTGCTTAAAAAACACTTTTAAAAAATGTCTGAAATAAGCCTTAAACCACTGACGCTGAGGTGTAGAGGGAACCTGCTGGGGGGAATTTATCAAAATCTGGGGCAGTTGCCCATAGTAGCCAATCAGCGGCTCTCTTCAGTTTGTTCTGTTACGCTTTGAATATGAAAGAGAGAAGCTGATTGGTTGCCATGTACAGCTGCTCCAGATTTTGTCTGCTCCAGTTTTGATAAATTTCCCTCTATGTGTTATAGCTTAAATCAGATTTTAGGCACAGTTAACACTTGCTATGTGCCCGAAAGCGTGCAGCGTTTTGGCGCATTTCTCATACATCTGCATAGGGTAGCGCACTGAATTCAATGAGCTTTTGACCGTGTGTTTTTTCACACATTTTTGCATGTGCCTAAACATGTTTTGCTTGCCGCATTTGGGGTGCCATTACTAAAAGTGGCACCACATGCTTTACACATGTCTCGTCATGTCAAAATTGCACAATTGTGCGCACAGTCACACATGTGGCAAGGGTGAATTGGGCCCTTAGTGATTGGGTTTACATTAATTTCCTGTAATTCTGTTGCAGGCCTTTGTAGTCTGTCTTATCTGGAATGTTACCATGCACCTGCAAGCTCCTGAATGGAACTCAAAGCAGGGAGATAGGTCAAGGGGCTTTGTACCTCAGATGAGCTGCATTCAGCCGCTGCAATCTAATGGATGCAAAATTTCAGTGCCATATAGGAATATCAGAACAATATATTCTACCCGCACTGATCTATAAACATCTTGTCACATAAAGAAGCGCCTGTGCTTGTTCACAAAGACAGAAGGCCACAGGTCAGTGGAGTCCAAGGTAAAACAAAACATCCTTCATTATTCCAAGTGCCTCATTACTGCTGCTAATGCACTAAACCTCACACAAAGACTGACAGATGGGGACTGACAGCTACACATTGACATTGATGAACTCAGACTGGAGGAAGGATAAAAACAGAAGGCTGCAGACCCGGCTGGATGGGTACAAAGGGATAGACATACCTGATGGAGCACACAGGTACATTAGGGCTCACTCGCACGGGTGTGCATGTTCGTATGGCGTGCTAGTTACATAGTTAGGTTGAAAAAAGACGCAAGTCCATCGAGTTCAACCTATAGCGATACGGAGAAACAAAAAAGGGAAGAAAAGCCTAAACAGAACGCTATGCCCACAGCTACCCCCTGTTGATCCAGAGAAAGGTAAAAAAAAAAAACCCTATAAAGCATGTACATGCAGAGACCCGATCCCAGGAGGGACAGATGCTGCGTGTAATTGCGTAAAGGAGCCTGTACATCCGTATGCAAGGATGTGGCTGCATGCGGTTACATGCATACCTGAACCTGCACATCGGTGAGGGTGTGGGTGCCCACACTTGGATGCACACGGTCTGTGTCCAAATGCAGTCACCTGGAGCCGCACGGATGTGCAGGTTCAGGTCTGAGGGTAACTGCGTGCAGCCACATCTTATGTACATGGGCATCAGCCTCAGAAGCATGCCAAAATGGCTTGTTTTTCGAGATCTGGCTTCCTTCTGATATGCTTTTATGTGCATTCACATTACAGTAGTATTAAAGTCTTTCGGGGGGGGGGGGGCCATATACAGTATCTATAGATATTGTATATGCCCCGACATACAAAAAAAAGTTGGAAAATACCAACTAACATGTGGCAGCGCCGCTGTGAAGGAGAATGTGTGGGCAGGCGCATGAGCAGTCCAGATCGTCGGAGGGGAGAGGAGAGCGATACTGAAACTCAATGGAGGCAGCCGGGAGCGCACTCACCGGACAGACACCGTGGGACACAGAAGACATAAGAGTCTGCGCTGGATCAGAGACTGGCACCACCGCTGGAGGGACAGTGGAAAATGAGTGGAAGGAAGAAGCTGTTCGAATTAAGTGGCATCACATAAATTAAGTCCTTACAGCAGCATGAGGAAGGGGGATCTGCCTTTAATGTCACTTTAAAGTATATGTAAACCCAAAATCTCTTATTCAGCATGTTTGGCATCATGCCTTATCATACACAGTTTTCTTAAAGTGTATTTCCACGTTAGCAGCCGTATTAAGGTAACACCTAAATTATATTGGTACATGTTCCCATTCACATAGCATAACTTTAAAAAAAAACAATAAAAATTACAGCTTACCATTTTTAGATGTTCTTTCAGCTAATTCAAGGACTGAAAAATCAGTTCTCACAGTCTGGGGTGTTGGGGGGAGTTTTGTTTAAAAAAATTAACCCTGTCTGTACTGTGCTGGCAGATTTCATTATCACTTGTAAACTATATGAGCAGGACTGTCTGTCCTAACAAAGGGTTAAAGCCTGGACTGTCTGCCCTAACAAAAAGAAAAAATTCCCTTCACACATTGCAGAGAATTTATCAAAACTTGAGCAGGCAGAATCTAGAGTTTTCTGTGGCAACCAATCAACTTCTCTCTTTCAGCATAACTGAACAAACTGAAGAGAGAAGCTGATTGGTTACTATGGGCAACTGCTCCAAATTTGTCTGCTGTAGTGCGTGAATGGGAACACACAGCAAACATACAGTGGCGGTTTCTCAATTTTGACTGCAAAAGTGGAAACACACGTTAAGCAAATCTTTTTTTGAGCGAGAATCTGTTGCTCACCTGAAGGCTAAGACACTGCCTCACAATTATTAGCAGCGTTGTCAGCCTGCCATGCCTACTCCTTTAGTTGGCCATTGGGCTGCCTATCAAGTCTATCAGATCCCAACACTCAAGGTTGAAAACGCGTGAAAAGCGTGCATTCAAACATGCAAAAAAAGACCTTGACCCTCAAGTGTGAAAGGGGCTAAGAGCCAGTTAAGGATTCAACCATTGTGTTCAGAACTGCTTTACAATCCTAGATCAGAAGAAGTCCGAAGGGGTCCGGAATCCCACAATTAATCTTAAAGTGTATGTATAGCCCAAGTTTTTGTTTCAGTTTTACAAACAGTAGGGAATGGTTAAAACTGTCAGTTTATTTTTTTTTACAGTTTGTGTTCCCTTG